TTGCAAGAAGTTGCTGTGGCCAAGTTCAAAAAGGGTGTTGCCTATGTTCTCCTCTAGGATTTTGATGCAATCTTGTCTCACATTAAGGTCTTTAATCCATTTTGAGTTTATCTTTGTGTCTGGTGTAGAGAATGGTCCAGTTTCATTCTTCTGCATGTGGATGTCCAATTTCCCCAGCACCATTTATTGAAGGGACTGTCTTTCTTCCAGTGGATCGTCTTTCCTCCTTTGTCGAATATTAGTTGACCATAAAGTTCAGGGTCCACTTCTGGGTTCTCTATTCTGTTCCATTGGTCTATGTGTCTGTTTTTGTGCCAGTACCACACTGTCTTGATGACCACAGCTTTGTAGTACAACTTGAATTCTGGCATTGTGATGCCCTCCATGGTATTTTGATAGAGATTGCATTGAATGTGTAAATTGCCCTGGGCAACAGTGACATTTTCACAATATTAATTCTGCCAATCCATGAACATGGAATGTTTTTCCATCTCTTTGTGTCTTCCTCAATTTCTTTCAGAAGTGTTCTATAGTTTTTAGGGTATAGATCCTTGACCTCTTTGGTTAGGTTTATTCCTAGGTATCTTATGCTTTTGGGTGCAATTATAAATGGGATTGACTCCTTAATTTCTCTTTCTTCAGTCTCATTGTTAGTGTAGAGAAATGCCACTGATTTCTGGGCATTGATTTTGTATCCTGCCACGCTCCCAAATTGCTGTATGAGTTCTAGCAATCTTGGGGTGGAGTCTTGGGTTTTCTAGGTACCGTGTCATGTCATCTGCAAAGAGGGAGGGTTTGACTTCTTCTTTGCCAATTTGAATGCATTTTATTTCTTTTGTTGCCTGATTTCTGTGGCTAGGACTTCTAGTACTATGCTGAATAGCAGTGGTGAGAGTGGACATCCCTGTCTTGTTCCTGATCTTAGGGGAAAGGCTCCCAGTGTTCCTCCATTGAGAATGATATTTGCTGTGGGCTTTTCGTAGGTGGCTTTTAAGATGCTGAGGACAATGTAATTGATCATATGAGCAAAAGAAAAAACAAGAACCGTATGATCCTCTCAATAGATGCAGAGAAAGCATTTCGTAGCTCTATTTTACCTATTGTGAAACAAATACAAACTTAATTTTATATTCTGAAATATTTAATCTCAGATTATAAATGGAATATTTCTGTCAATAATTTATAGATGCTGCCTTTATGAAAAATTTTAACTTTCATTAACTAGACCTTTTTCTAAAATAAATTTTTGTTTCATTGTCCTAGTTTTCAATCTTAGTTTAAATTACTGTATGAATTGAAAACCTAGAGTGAAAGCCACTACTTAAGTATTTTTCAAAATATTCTTGTTCCTGCCAACCTTTATTCTCCAAATTGAACATTATATCATTTTACAAAGTTTTTTCCACTACTTCCTACCCACCACCAAATTCTGTTGGGATTTGGGTCAGAATTAATTTTAACAAACACATTCCTTGGTTAAGGCAGGCAAGTTTTCCATATTCTTTCTTCAGACTAAGGGGATTCTCTTTTCTTAGAATTCAACAATCCTGTTGTCTCCATCTGTTTCATGATTATATTTTTAATCTCCTGTTATATTACACTAGCTCTCCTGACTCACCCCTTTGTGGCTTATCATCTTGTTCATCATATTTATCTCTTAGCACTTTTTCTCTGAATTCTTCAGAAAGATCTTGGGGGAGTTCTCCTATTTGATGCTTAGTTTTTTTTTAAGATTTTATTTATTTATTCATGAGAGACACACACACACAGAGAGAGGCAGAGACATGGGCAGAGGGAGAAGCAGGCTCCATGCAGGGAGCCCAACATGGGACTCCATCCCGGGTCTCCAGGATCACACCCTGGGCCAAAGGCAGTGCTAAACCACTGAGCCACCCCAGGCTGCCCTGGTATGCTTAGTTTTTTTTTTTTTAAGACATCCAATTTGTTGTTCACTGCCTCAGCCATTTTTTTCTTTTTTTTCCTTTTTTTTATTGGAGTTCAATTTGCCAACATATAACATATCACCCAGTACTCATCCCGTCAAATGCCCCCCTTAGTGTCCATCACCCAGTCACCCCAACCCCTGCACAATTGCACTGCCTTAGCCATTTTTAAATTCTGTGAATTACAGAACTCATTGTGGTTTTGCCCTCAAATTAAAACAAGATTAATGACTTCTGAATATCAGGTGAATATTCGCTTTTCTGAAACTGTGCTTGCTTAGGTGCAGCAACCCACTGAGCCACATTTCTGGATGTATCTCAACTGGGCAAACTTAGTAACATTTTCCGAACTCCACTTTTTTTTTTAAAGATTTTATTTATTTACTTGAGAGAAAGAGCATGTGCGTGTGTGCATGTGCAAGCAAGCAGGGAGGGGGTAGAAGGAGGAGAGACAAAATCTTAAGCAGACTCCCTGCTGAGCACAGAGCCCAATGCAGGTCTCGATCTCACACCCCGAGAGCATGACCTGAACTGAAATCATGAGTTACATGCTCAACTGACTGAGCCACCCAGGCGCCCCTCCAAACGCTACTTTATGTTCACTTTCAGAAAACTACTTGCATTCACTAAAAATAAATTAGTAGAGAACTTATGAAAAAGAACACAAATATGTGCATAAAATAAACATTAATCTTAAATCATGAAATAATTGAGATGTGTGGGGATGAACAAAACAACCGATCAGCAATCTGTGCTGAATAAGGAGCATTTAGCCTATACTCAAGAGTCCTAGAAGCTATCAAGCCTCATCCTCTTCTGCTAACACAGCAAGGAAAATATAACTTCTTGTTTTTTTTTAAAAAATGTTTCATTTATTTATTTATGAAAGACACACAGAGAGAGGCAGAGATACAGGCAGAGGGAGAAGCAGTCTCCCTGTGGGAGCCCAATGTGGGACTCGATCTCAGGACCCCGGATCACAACCTGAACCATCACTGAGCCACCCAGATGCCCAGAAAATATAACTTCTTAGGACACAGGATATACTACTCCTTATCTCAGAGTATATCCATTCTCAGCATAGTGCTTAATTCCTACAGCAACCCAAAAACTCAGGATATGTGGCATAGTAGAATTAAAAGATGCCCATGCTTCCCCTAGCACAACATCACATAAAATACACTTGTTTATTTAAAAATATCAAGACAAAAATGTTCATCACCTGCAATGAAACGCCGGGACACCTGCACCCCGATGTTTCTAGCAGCAACGTCCACAATAGCCAAACTGTGGAAGGAGCCTTGGTGTCCATCGAAAGATGAATGGATAAAGAAGATGTGGCCTATGTGTACAATGGAATATTACTCAGCCATTAGAAACGACAAATACCCACCATTTGCTTCAATGTGGATGGAACTGGAGGGTATTATGCTGAGTGAAGTAAGTCAATCGGAGAAGGACAAACAGTGTATGTTCTCATTCATTTGGGGAATATAAATAATAGTGAAAGGGAATAGAAGGGAAGGGAGAAGAAGTGTGTGGGAAATATCAGAAAGGGAGACAGAACATGAAAGACTCCTAACTCTTGGAAACGAACTAGGGGTGGTGAAAGGGGAGGTGGGCGGGGGGTGCAGGTGACTGGGTGGCGGGCACTGAGGGGGGCACTTGACAGGATGAGCACTGGGTATTATTCTTTATGTTGACAAATTGAACACCAATAAAAAATAAATTTATTTAAAAAATGTTCATCACATGTAGTTACAGAAAATAAATACACAGTACTGTCCAGAAGCCTGTCTAACCACTGAGCCTCTGTAGAACGAATTAATCTCTGGACTTCTGTTGTTCTTCCACAAGGATATGTGTCCTATACACCCATGTGTTACAGGTGATTTAAGGATCAGAATAAAAAGGAGGCTGGTCTCTTTTTGTATTAAGACCCATATTGTTCTTTTTGAGGATTATATTTTTCATAATTGAGATTTTGAACTTTATATATTGAGGCATTTCTCCTGGTGATGGCTTAAGATCATGGAAATCAGAATCTGAGGATAAACAACAGGAGTGCACTTTCTGTACCAGCCTCAACTCTCCAGGACTTCTCTACACCTTGTAGCACTTCCAACCCAGGACATGAGGAAAACAACCAAATGTAGACTTTCTCATGCATCAGAGGTTCAGCTTCTTATATTTCATTTCACCAACCACCTCCCATCTGTTAATTACTAGAAAAACAACTTCTTGATGGAGATGGGTTCTACTTAAAATGCAAAAAAAATTTTTTTAAAGGTAACATGAAGACATTATTGATGCCAAAATCAGGTGCTAGATCACCTCCTCAGGAGAGTGACAATTTCTGGTTCCCTTTTCTTGGCTACATGGTAAAGATGGATGACTACAGCAATGACAAGGAATTTTCTAGGGATTGCTAATGAGCCAACTCATCAAACAGACCTTAACTATGCTGGACATTCATGTTCAGCATTGTTATTACAACAAATTTTTTTTGTTTGAAGTTAACAAATCTTTGATCCAGTGTAGTTACTCCTGCTTTGGACAAATACACAAATGAAGAAATTCATCCATAATTTCCAAAGGAGAAAAAAATAGGTTAAATCTGAGAACTAACCTAATGGATTTGGAAATTCTTTTTACAGAGATCTCTCAATACTAATAGTAATCCCTGCCATACCTAAAATGAGATGCTATAAAGACACATGCTGGTCTCCTGGCAGCCTTGACCAGTACTGGCATCTCTGATCTTGAGGTAGTACACACTAGATAGGGATGGGATACTGAAGGTGAAGGGTTACAGCACCACAAGTAACTATAAAATAGTGGATTGTTTGGCCTATTGACGTATTAGGTCATAGCTGATGAAGAATGAAGATGCAGAGCTTCCAGTTACTACTCATGCATTTTCCTGTCCTTGTGACAGTCATAGGTTTATACTAGAAGAGTGCAGCAACTGTAATTCATCCTACAATTAGGAGAGTTGTAGGGCAATGATTTACTCCCTATGTTTCCTATGCTGTACATCTGAAATAAATTCCATAATTAGTAACAACAGAGAAAGATTCTCTTCTTCCATCTGTTTAGGGCATCTTTGATTTCCTTGTTCCTCAAGCTATAGATCAATGGATTTAGCATGGGGATTATAATAGTGTATAAAACTGATGCCAACTTGTTTTGGCTCAGGGAATCATCAGAGTTTGGATACATATAAACAAAGATACCTGAGCCAAAGAAGAGAGTCACTGCTGTCAGGTGAGAAGCACAGGTGTTGAAGGCCTTGGACCTGCCTTCAGCTGATGTGATCTTCAGAATGGTGGCAACAATATAAGCATAGGATATCATGATAACTAAGACAGATGTGAGTCCAAAGATCACCGTGAGCACAGAGGTCATGATTTGAAAGAAAAATGTGTCAGAGCAGGACAGGATCAGCAGTTGGGGAAGATCACAGAAGAAATGATTGATGATATTTGGCCCACAGAAATGGAGCTGAAGTAAGGCACACAGTTGGATAAATGAGCCCAAGAATCCAGTTATACAAGATCCTGCCACCATCTGCACACAGAGGGTGGGTGACATGATGGCAGTATAGAGCAGAGGATTACAAATGGCAGCATATCGGTCATAACCCATAACTGCCAGGAGACAGCACTCAGTCAGACCCAGGCTAGAGAAGAAGAAGTACTGTGTGGTACACCCCAGAAAGGAGATGGATTTCTCCTTCTTGAAGAAATCAGAGAGCATCTTGGGCGCTATAGTGGAAACATAGCAGATATCCAGGAAGGACAAGTTACTAAGGAAAAAGTACATAGGTATGTGCAGATGGGAGTCCACCCTGATGAGAGTGATGAGACCCAGGTTCCAGGACACTGTCATGAGGTAGATCCCTAGGAATATTGTAAAAAGGACAATGGTGAGCTTGGGAAATTCAGAGAATCCCAAGAGAATGAACTTCATAACTGCTGTACTGTTCCTTCCCCCAGCCATTGCATTAGGAATCCTAGGACCTGCAGACAAAGAGAATAAATATTTAAGTCAGTTGTTATCCCAATTTCTATTAATGCCTTCTACTCACACTAAACACAAAATCAAGAGAAATACTGAGCCATTTTGAAGAAATAACCCTGATTAATTTTGCCCCTAAAAAGTTACAATGGTCCTGCGTATCAGTATTACCACATATAAAAGAGGATAATTATACATTTCACTGTTAACACACCAGGCTCTTAAAAGGACAAAGGAAAATATAATAACATTTGGAAAGCTCTTCTTAAAAGATGCTTTAGAACCTCAGGATATTATTAAAGGGATTATAACTCCTATGTATAGCTTAGTGACTAAAAGTATGGCCTTAGATGTCACATAGCTATCTTTGGAATGTGGCTCTGCTATCTGTGAGCTTTATGACTCTGAATATGTTGCCTCTTATCTTTCTACCTAAACTTAATCGACAAGACAGAGATAATAGAAATTACTTCATACAGTTCAGTCAAAGTTAAATTAGTTCAGTTACATATAGTGCCAGTCACGCATATCATAAGTTAAGTTGAAGTTGAGTCATCAGCTAATATCTTTGTAATACAGTTTTGAAGCACGTCTTTGGTTTGTGAAAAACTTTTAAACTTTAAAGTGTTGATCATACATATAACATTCTCAGACTACAGAGATCAGTAACAAATTGGTCATTAAAGAACCATAATAATTGGAAACTAATTATATATTCTGAAGTCTGAATAGTATAGACGTATATGGTTAATAAATAAATGAATAAATAAATATAATGAAAAATACAATCTACCAAATCTTGTGTATTTTTAATTGAAATATAATGGATATACATATGATTTCACTCATATGTGTAATTTAAGAAACAATACAGATGAACATAGGGGAAAGAAAAAAAGATGGAAGCAAATCATAACACTCTTAACTAAGAGAACAAACTGCTGGTTGACGGAGGGGAGGTGAGCGGGGATGGGCTAAATGGATGATGGGCATTAAGGAGGACACATGTTGTGATGAGCATTGAGTCTTAAATGTAAGTGATGAAGCACTAAATGCTACACCTGAAACCAATTTTACCTTATATGTTAACTAGGATTTATTTTTTGTATATATATATATATATATACAGAAATATATATTTCAGAAAGACGTGTTTGCTTTAATATTAGAAAAACATTTAGTGTAATTCACCACATTAAGAGATTAAAGAAAAAAGGAATATAATCATCTAAATAGATTTAACTAAAAAATTCATTCATGATTTAAAAAAATTAGCAAATAAAAGAACTGTTTTAACCTTGCCAAAGAGATCTTACAACCACCATCAGTAAACTACATTTCTAATAGTAAAATAATGAAAGAATTATCATAAGGGTCTAAGCAAGGAAACAAAGCTCACTATCACATATTTGATTAATCTTTGCCTTGAAGATTGTAGCTAGTGTAACAAGGGCAGAAAAACAATCAAATTTCAAAAAGTCAACTTTAGTGAGGCATAATTTACATGCAATAAAATATATCAATTTTATGCAGTTGATAAATTTGCTCACCTATTTGCATACTCCCATAATCAAGATGTAGGACATTTTCTTCCCTCCAAAATATTCCCTTGTGTCTTTTTAAAATAAGTCCTCTCTGCTACCCCCTTGCCTTAGGCAACCACTAGTCTGCTTTCTGTCACTCCTATATTAGGGGACCTTCACTAGATATCCAAAATAAATGGAATAAAATTATATGTACTCTTTTATATCTGGTGTCTTTCATTTAACATAATGTTTCTAAGATTCATCCATGTAGTTGTGCTCTTCATCAATAGTTTGTTTCTTTTATTTTTGTAAACTTTTTATTGGAGTTCGATTTCCCAACATATAGCATAACACCCAGTGCTCATCCCATCAAGTGCCCCCCTCAGTGCCCATCACCCAGTCACCCCATCCCTCCGCCAACTTCCCGTTCAACTACTCCTTGTTCCTTTTCCCAGAGTTAGGAGTCTCTCATGTTCTGTCACTCTCTCTGATATTTCCCACTCATTTTCTTTCCTTTCCCCTTAAATCCCTTTCACTATTTTTTATATACCTCAAATGAATGAAACCATATAATGTTTGTTCTTCTTCTATTGACTTACTTCACTCAGCATAATACCCTCCAGTTCTATCTATGTTGAAGCAAATGGTGGGTATTTGTCATTTCGAATTCCTGAGTAATATTCCATTGTATATATAGACCATATCTTCTTTATCCATTCTTCTTTTGATGGACACCGAGGCTCCTTCCACAGTTTGGCTATTGTGGACATTGCTGTTATAAACATTCGGGTGCAGATGTCCCGGTTTTTCACTGCATCTGTATGTTTGGGGTAAATCCCCAAGGGCAATTGCTGGGTCATAGGGTAGCTCTAATTTTAACTCTTTGAGGAACCCACACATGGAGGTTCAAGAGCATCCTGCTAAAAGATGAATGGATCAACCAGGAAATTAGAGAACAATTAAAAAGATTTGTGGAAACTAATGAAAATGAAGATACAACCATTCAAATCTTTGGAATACAGCAAAAGCAGTCCTGAGAGGGAAATACATCGCAATACAAGTATCCCTCAAAAAATCGGAAAAACTCAAATACAAAAGCTAACCTCACACCTAAAGGAACTGGAGAAAGAACAGCAAATAAAACCTACACACAGCAGAAGAACAGAGTTAATAAAGATCCAAGCAGAACTCAATGAAATACTGACCAGAAGAACTATAGAACAGATCAACAAAACCAGGAACTGGTTCTTTGAAAGAATTAATAAGATAGATAAACGATTAGCCAGCCTTTGTAAAAACAAAAGAGAAAAGACTCTAATTAATAAAATAACAAATGAAATAGGAGAGATCACAACCAATACCAAGGAAATACAAACAATTTTAAAAACATATTATGAGCAGCTATATGCAAATAAATTAGGAAATATAGAAGAAATGGATGCATTTGTGGAAAACCACAAACTACCAAAACTGAAACAGGAAGAAATAGAAAGGGGGAACTTGACAGGATGAGAACTTGGTGGTATTCTGTATGTTGGCAAATTGAACACCAAAAAAAATAAATTTATTATTAAAAAAAGGAAGAAATAGAAAACCTGAACAGCCCCATAATAAGGGAGGAAATTGAAGCAGTCATCAAAAACCTCCCAAGACACAAAAGTCCAGGGCCAAATGGCTTCCCAGGGGAATTCTATCAAGCGTTTAAAGAAGAAACCATACCTATTCTACTAAAGCTCTTCCAAAAGAGAGAAAGGGACAGAATACTTCCAAACACATTCTATGAAGCCAGCATAACCTTGCTTCCAAACCCGACAAAGACCCCACCAAAAAGGAGAATTATAGACCAATATCCCTGATGAACATGGATGCAAAAAATCTCAGCAAGATACTAGCCAGTAGGATCCAACAGTACATTAAGAAGAGTATTCACCATGACCAAGTGGTATTTATCCCCAGGATGCAAGGCTAGTTTAACACTTGTAAAACAATCAACGTGATAGATCATATCAACAAGAGAAAGAACAAGAACCATATGATCCTCTCGATAGATGCAGAGAGAGCATTTGACAAAATACAGCATCCATTGCTGATCAAAACTCTTCAGAGTGTAGGGAGAGAGGGAACATTCCTCAGCATCTTAAAATCTATCTAAAAAAAAGCTCCCAGCAAATATAATTCTCAATGGGGAAACACTGGGAGCCTTTCCCCTAAGATCAGGAACAAGACAGGGATGTCCACTCTCACTACTGCTATTCAACATAGTACTAGAAGTCCTGGCCTCAGCAATCAGACAACAAAAGAAATAAAATGCATTCAAATTGGCAAAGAAGAAGTCAAACCCTCCCTCTTTGCAGATGACATGACACGGTACCTAGAAAACCCAAGACTCCACCCCAAGATTGCTAGAACTCATACAGCAATTTGGCAGTGCGGCAGGATACAAAATCAATGCCCAGAAATCAGTAGCATTTCTCTGCACTAACAATGAGACTGAAGAAAGAGAAATTAAGGAGTCAATCCCATTTACAATTGCACCCAAAAGCATAAGATACCTAGGAATAAACCTAACCAAAGTGGTCAAGGATCTATACCCTAAAAACCTCAGAACACTTCTGAAATTGAGGAAGACACAAAGAGATGGAAAAACATTTCATGTTCATGGATTGGCAGAATTAATATTGTGAAAATGTCAATGTTGCCCAGGGCAATTTACACATTCAATGCAATCTCTATCAAAATACCATTGACTTTTTCAGAGAGTTGGAACAAATCATCTTAAGATTTGTGTGGAATCAGAAAAGACTCCAAATAGCCAGAGGAATATTGAAAAAGAAAACGAGAGCTGGGGGCATCACAATGCTGGATTTCAAGTTGTTCTACAAAGCTGTGAGCATCAAGACAGTGTGGTACTGGCACAGAAACAGACCCATAGATCAATGGAACAGAATAGAGGATCCAGAAATGGGCAATCAACTCTATGGTAAACTAATATTCGACAAAGCAGGAAGACTACCCACTGGAAAAAGGACAGTCTCTTCAATATATGGTGCTGGGAAAATTAGACATCCACATTGAAACTAGACCATTCTGTTATACCAGACACAAAGATAAACTCAAAATGAATGAAAGATCTAAATGTGAGACAAGATTGCATCAAAAGACTAGAGGAGAACACAGGCAACACGCTTTTTGAACTGGCCACAGCAACTTCTTGCAAGATACATCTATGAAGGCAAGGGAAACAAAAGCAGAAATGAATGATTGGGACTTCATCGAGAAAAAAGTTTGCACAGCAAAAGAAACAGTCAACAAAACTAAAAGACAACCTACAGAATAGGAGAAGATATTTGCAAATGACCCATCAGATAAAGGTCTAGTATCCAAGATCTATAAAGAACTTATTAAACTCAACAGCAAAGGAACAAACAATCTGATCATGAAATGGGCAAAAGACAT